TTTCTTCCAATCAAAGCATCTTTTAAATCCAAAATAATATACATTTCTCTTACTTTGTATTTCTATAATACATATATTTTAAATACATCCAAACAAGCAACCTCTTAGTTGTAAAATGCTTTCCATATTTCCAACAACTTGATCTTCAATGCCTAGCTTCATGCCAAATCTTAAACCTTCATTATCCTTTACCTACTAGTTTGACATTTTCCTAGCCACATCAACCAAAATACGCCACACTTAAATTATCCTTCTGTCAATAGCACTTAGAGATACTCTAATGTTCTAAGAGAATTTAAGCTTAAAACTAGACATTCAAATGCCAGTTGTAGCCAATCATTCACATACACACGATATGTCAGTAACACAACATTTTCTAAGAAGTTCTAATAAATATTTGTCCATATTATAATGAATCATCTTTTTTAGTTTATCCTTCAAAGGACCTACATTAATCTTTTGATTTCCTACATTTTTATGAAGCACTTATTATGATGACTAACTCTATGCACAGTAGTGAATCATAGATTTATGTCACAAATGATATGCTTGTTCATTTCTTCTATCTACATTTCCACAATAGCTGTCATGTAGTATTTGTACTGCTCCAATTTCTCTGTTGTGCTCCAAGAGCAGCACCGTTTACCATCTTGTGACATCAGGATACTTTCAAGTTTATCCAAGATAAATTTCTGCTGAATTTAGTACTTTCAAATTAGTAAAAATGTTCAGATGGTTAACAATAAAAGTGTTGTAATATGATCACCCAACTCAGTTAAATCATTTCAATGTGTGTGCACTTAAATTTGGATTTTTTTTTTTTTTCCACACATCGCATATGCAAGACCATGAACCCAATACCTCAAGGTTAAAAGAGCTCACAACCACTAGATAAAAGTAGCAACGCTTAAATTTGGATCTACTTTACTAGTAGTGTGTAAGGGGACTGACCTTTTACTCTTTTGAATGGTTGGAACTGCTCCTTAAGTTGAGAACAACAGCAACCAGGGGCAAGTAATTAAAGTAACTGAAATGGAATAAGCAATTTTTTACTAAGACGGATGTATGGATTTGCAAAACAGAAGAAAATAGAGCTTCATGACCAATTTCTAACCCTCTTGTAATGTTCAAACATTCCAGAATCTGCATGGTATATTCATGCATTTATTCAACATCTAAAATAAACCAAGCACATTTAGGCTAAGCAAAACAGATTTGTGTTGTCTAATATGCATATCTCAGAGATCATGAGTTGCATCTTGAATAGTAGAAACGCAGTAAGAGATCCAAGGCATAAGCATGAACATGATTTTTTTTTTAGTATGATTTTAACTTCACTAAACTCGCTAATATATAATCCTAAATCCTGCAGGCATTTTTAGCTCCCAAGATTTTAAAATTATGAATTATCATATAAATTCGTACACTCACTTGGAATAAAAAACTTCACAACTTAGACTGTTGCAACCTTTGTTTTAAAGGGTGTTACTAGGGGGCGCCCCAGGCACGTTTCTGGGCGAGGCCTCACACCCCAGCCTATTGAGGGGAGTGTACATCACGACACATTTTTTATGCTCGGGAACTAATTTTGCGCCCCAATGGGTGATTTGAACACGACTATTGATGAAGAAGAAGAAGAAGATTATGAGGATAAACTTGAAGAATAAATAATATTCAAGGATGGAGATCAATTGAGCATGACTAGTTTATTTTTGGGCTCAAACATATTTACTTAATTTTATATATTTTTACTTTTTTTGTGGTGAAATTATGCCAATATCTTGAAGATTTTAGTCCTAGAAGACTTATTTTGAAATTGAATGGGTAAAAATTCTTATTTTTATCTATTAAAAAAATTAAAAAATTATTTTTTTATATTTCTTTCATATCACCCATAACAGCTAAAATGCCCCCACCTATACTTGCAACTAGCCGTCAAGTTAACATAATAAAAGGTACTCAATAGTCTTACTCATTTTTTTCTTCTGTCTATTCTTTTACCCACAACCAATTTATACCATATCATCTTAGGCTCCAAACCCACTGAGATTCAATCTTCCTTAATATATTTCAAATATCTCCAAGTGTATTGAGTTCAGCAGTTCAAAAAAAAAGTTTTGATCTCCTTCATATGAACAGTTTGAGATGAAGTCTTATATTACACACAAAGATGCGCATACAAAATACTACACAGGAAGATAATAACTATTTTATAATCATTAGTATTTCAAAAATTTTCTATTAACTTGATTTAGCTTTTAGTTATAGTAAGTAGACCCCTGGTTAACACCAATAAACTCTTGCATGTGGATTACAGGAGTACATAAATGTGTCAATAGGTCATTCAACAACAAATTGTTTCATATAATTGATGTTAAAACAGTTCAAATATTTCTCAAGAATTAAATTATAGGAATAGTCTTATTTCTTCCATCACTTGAATGGTATTAATTAATTGAAAAGAAAAGATGAATCTCATCTGAACTTTAAAACTAAAATTAAAAAAGAAAGTTTCATTTTAAAAAGGGTCTCTTTCCTAATTTTGAGTTTTTCAGGACAAACATCAATATGTGCATAAATAAATTTCATCAATAAAAAGATGAGAGAGGAGTGAGATGATTAATTTTAAGGATGCAATGGAGCATTGGTATTGGAGGGTTGGAAGTGTGAGCACATTAGACATGGAGAAAGAAATCATTTGAATCAGGAGAGTAGAAGAGAATATAAGTTCAGACGACAAGAGAGAGTTTAAAGACGTGTAGAAGAGATGTTGAAATTCAAGATCGTAGAAAGGGTGAGAGAGAAAGCATTAAAGGATGGGAGAGAAAGAAGCCACTTAAACTTCTAAAATTTTAAATAATAATTCAATTTAAATTACTATTTTTTAAAGCAAAAGATGTTGATAAGGTACACACCATTTCCAAACTCGAGCGACACAACCAATAAAACACAAATAATTATTCCTCATTCATTTCTCATTGATGAAACTCACTATCCCTTCGTCCCCCTAGTTCCCCACTTTCATTGAAAACTCATGTAACCTTTGTCAACCTTTTCCTCTACCCCAACTTCATTGATTTTCCTCAGCCTAACTCCCAGACAACTAGATGGCACACTATTCTAAAGTCAGAGATGCCATGTGAACTAATAATGCCTTCACTACCTGCTAAGAATAACAATGCAATTTTCCTTTCTCATCGACATAAAATGGTTTCTTGGCTATAGTTGCCACAATTTTTTTCCAGGCAACGCTAATGCAATCTTCTACATTATTCGCAACTCAAAAACTATCTATTTTCCCTCCCTCTCTAATGTGTTTAAAGATGCAATATTCTCTTACAAATATACCACATTCCTCCTCTATTGTTGATGGCATTATTAAAAATAAAATAAAAAATAATAATAACGTAAACAATGTGTTGGGTGTAACAATTGGAGCAATTGCATTATGATTAATAGCAGAGGTAGGGGACCAAGGGTGGCATATTTAGTAACACTCTGGCTAAGGTAAAAATTATAAAGGTAATAACAAGAGAGCTCTTGCATTATGAAGTGAGCATTTTCTTATATGCACATTAGCCAGATAAAATACAAATGATAAAAACAGATTTCAACTTTCTATTACACAAAAAGTTATTGAATATACTTTTTTTCTAAAATATTACAATTTCTTCGAAAGCGCATTGATACTGAATATTGCATGTCCAATAGTTATCATTGATAAAATGCTATTTATGACCACATAATTTAATTATGAAAGCAGAAAATTCATGTTGAGAAAAACAGATACACGTTATAAAAGGAAAACGGAGAAAAGAGAGATTGCAAATGTCAAGCAATTGAATTTTAAAAATTTATCCCAGGTTGGTTTAATCTAGATATTATGACTTTTTTTTATTCATTCTATTTTTAATGGTAATTAGAAGACTAACTAACACGCTACATGCCAATATTGTACGTACAAGAGACGGACACTTTTTAATACTAAATAGTTTTCTTTGAGCTCAATTGATTTTCAATCTGCTTCTAATAGAATTTTTCAAAAGTTAGATTAAAGAGAATTAAATTGATCAAGTGAGCTTAAGAATTTAAGTGCATATACTGGTCCCTTTCCAATTGATATAACTATACTTAAAAATTATATCAGTCTAATTTAAGTTAGAAATTTCTAAAAAATTTTGAAGTGATTGAGATATATTTTTTAATCAACTATTTCTATTATCCATAAAAAACTTTAATCAGTTATTGATTATGTGTATGAGTGATACTCACCAATCAATTTATCAATCTATGTAGAGTTTGATTAAAAAATTACTTAAGATTTTTATTCAACATTCTCCTTCAATAGCAAATAAAATTGGGCCCAAATTATGTTCATAAGAAAGCTTTGAAAGAAATTTTCAGGTCAATGTAAGCAATCTTCAACTCAGTAACCTTATAATTTTCCTTCAAATTAAAATACATAGTACTCTACTATATTATCTTTTCATTAAAAAAATACCGCTTAAATTTTGTAAGTTTCAGTTCTCAATCTCCTACTTGGATCAGCATATATGAATATCAGACATAAAAGTGCCAATGAATTTCGAATTTAGAGAAACTCATCAAAATTAATGTCATAGTCCCAAGGTTTAGATTAATTTTAAAGGAATGAAAGAAAGAACTACATCTTAATTTGGTTGAAAACAAATGTAAACATTCTAGCAACAATCACAAACTCATAAATTCTTTTCTGTCAATCTAAAAGCACGCTGCTATGTCTATCTGCCGCCATCTCAAATAAAACTCTACATATTAAATAATATCTTCATTAGTATAGCATTTATAACGAACCTCAAAGTATTTCTGGATAGCCTCTCAGAGATAACATCAACCCCTCAAAAACCTTTCATCAAATCTAAAGCATCATAACTTTCCGCCAACTTATTACAAGAATCAAACCTACTTACTTTCAAGAAAAAAATAGCATGATGGACAAAAAAATACTTCCTATTCCATACCTTCCAAACGATAGCAGTGCAATCACTGGACGAAGATGCAAGGTACTCCCCACTATTTGAGAATTGCACGAACCAGACTTCATTTCTATGTTCATACAATGTCTGCATAATATTGTGAGATATCTCAATGAAAGGTCAATATTTACATCTTTAGAAAGCTAAATTGCTTCATTTTGTCCCACCCTTTTAATTCATTACAAAGATACATCATGTTATTTGCTATAATTTTTTAAAAATTTGACATCATATGCCTCATAATATTGAAAATTGGAGAAATATGGGCGATGTTTGTATTTCTGAATAAATATGCCAAAATTTTGTTCCATCCAAAACCCCCAATGTTTTTTTTTCCGTGCCCCGCACGAAGAAAGATATCCGACCCATCCAATTATTTTTTTCCACTTTTTTCATTGACTTAATCTCATTCAAATTTTTCCACTTGGGATAATAAGAAGAAGGCAGGGTTATAATCAAGCCGAGTCGAGCGAAGTATGTCATAAATTGGACTATGCATGGTTGAATCATAAGTTTTTAATGTTCATTTCAAACTTCAGTGGAGCTTTCACATAGATGTTCAAACTTTGTTTGCTTATCATTTTGATCGTACTAGATATATATTTGATTTGTTTATATTAATTGAACAAACAAAAAATTTGAATTAGCACTTAATTTCCATATATTTATACTTGGTTTTTCATATAAAACTGTAAACAAACTAAAAGTTTGAATGAGTACTTGTTTTTATTTAAAATTATTAACAAATTATTATGTAAAACTAAATAAATAAAAAACTAAATCATTTTTAAATTAGCATATAACAAGTTTATATAAAGTAAATAAAATAATATATAAATTGTAAGTTTTCTTGTAATTAAATAACATAAATAAGTAATAACAAATTAGTTAAATGTAATAAAAAAATAAAAAAATTGGATTAAATTTACACGTGTATTGTTATTAAATTATAATATGTTATAATTAAATAGGTTCTAGTTAATTAAATTTTATTTAAATAATATATATATAAGTATACAGCATTTAACAAGTATTTGTTGAATAAACAAACTTATTAGTGAACATTAATAAACGAGTTCGAGTATGTTCAAATTTAGTTCATTTCACTTTCAAGTTTTAAGAAAAATACTAAAACTTGTTTATTTATTAATTTGAACAAACAAGAACAAGTATAGTAATCAAGCTGAGTTCTAGTTGTTCAACAAGTGCATTACTTCTATTACAGTCCTATGTGGTCCGGGTAAAGTTCAAGATTTCTTTGTTCATTGAGTATTTTTTTTTTGTGTTCGAATCATGGATTAGATCAATGTAGATGAAGATATAACATATAGATGGATTTCTCAGAAATATTTGAACCTTGTTAGAACAAGTGTCCAACCCATGCTAGAACCCAATTCGAATAATGATCGAACATTGACCGAACATTATCGAACACATTTATTTGAATTGTCTTGTTCAATTATGGGTTGCATCATATCCAAATATTGTTCGATCAATATTCAAATAATGATTGAACCATGATCTAACATGGCTAGAATAATGATCGAATAAGAACATTTGAGTCAGGTTCAAACATCATTCGAGTCATGTTCAAGCAATATTCCTATGAGGTTTGAACAAGCTTCAAACATGATTACGACAACAATGAAGATATTAGAAATAGTGAATCAAGTGTTAGTATTATCGTGATGTGTGGAGGAAAATAAAACAAAGGTAGTGAAGCCAATTGGATATTCATTGGGAAATAAAACAAAAATTTGATAGCACAAAGAAACATTTCTCTTATATGCAACATATATTGATAAGATTCGTTATGATCTCAAACAACAGAGTATGTACCACTTTGAAAGAGCAACGGATGCAATCTCAATTTCTCCAACTGAGCTTTTGACAAATTATGATATCGATTTTTTTCTTGAAAAAGATATAAATATTCACTCGACAATGATCTCCCATGTATGCATCTATTGCTTCCAAGACATTTCATTTGCAGTTTTTTGTAAAATGAGGGTGATGTATAATCTATCAATTCACCATCTAGTGCATGTGGAGGTGATGATGTGGCCATAGCACATGCAGAGAAAAAAGATATTGAGAAAATACATGTAGAAGCAAATGAAATTGTATACATACATGCTAAAAATAAAATAGCTCCATTGATACTTCCATACCAAACCGTCCAACAAAGATTATAACCCCAATTTTTTTAATACCTAAAATTTGTAAATGAGTGAGGTTTTCAATTTCTTCATGTACCTTAAGGCCAAAAGCAATAATTTAAGGCATGAAAAATATATAGATAACTCTATTCCACAAAATTAGGGTCCGGATAATACTTCTAATTCAATTTTTTATGACATAATGGCCTCGTGCTCTAGTCCGCCCTTAGTTCAATCAGAAGTTGGATGACTTTTTGAGGGTAAAGATGTTTTAAAAGGATTTTATACTCATATGCAATGCAAAAAAAAAAAA